CACCGAAGAAACCACGAGCGGCTTACCCTTGCCAGTGATTCCCTCGAAAAACATCACTTTACTGTTCTGATAGCAACCTTTTTGTGAGATATTACACGCTGGATGTTTCTTTCCGGAACGCGAACGTTTTGGTTGTTGAGGGATGGTTTTATCGTAAAAATTTTTTGATCAGAGAAAACGACGAAGAGTTGCGTGTCATCACTCAAGTGGGTCTGCGATTTTCTACATTTGTTGGCCCTGCAGAATCTATTGAGATCGGGATTGGAGCATACGATAGGAATGGTAGTGAGGCTTCTGCATGACATTCTTTCATGGCGATAACTCGTGTAAGCCGTGCCCGTTGACTTCCTTTTGATGGGTCACCCAGGATCCCGACCGACTGGCAGACGGACCATTGTAATAGTCCTAACATCAGAAACATTCTATCCTCCTACCTTTCCTGGTTTGTCTCTGATTCAATCTTCTTTTCTATATCGTTAATAGCCTCCTATACGGTTATTAGAAAAATCGCAAAGAATTTCATAATGCCCTTCCACCTCGCACGTGTCAATGATTGCAAGTGGCATTGAGTGAGCCTCCTCCATCTAAAAGGTAATGGGAGTTCCACATCAGCAACCATGCATATTGCAAGGAAACCTTCTTATGCAACTAATCAATAACAGGTAATGTGAATTTGATAGATTATTTCTACCTTAAAAATTACTGAACTTCGGCGCAAATAATTTTGGGACACCCTGTACATACGGGATGTGGCGTTGGTCCTGCCTCACAGGCACAGCATTGTAGGGAATAACCTTCGAATGATTACTGCTGAAATTTCTAAGTACCTTATTATAATCGAATATTATGCTAGAAACGAGGCTTGCATATTTATATATAATTCTGAACGGTATATGAGGAACATTAGAATTGGCTTTAAAAACATTGGTAATATCCTTTGAATTAACTATTTCACCTATACTAACAAAATCCAAAACACCATATAAATATTCAGCATGTAAGTTACAGTAGCTGTCTTTTTTGCAAACTTCACTCCTTTCTTCTTGAGCAAATTGGAGTATACACAAAAGGAATAGCAACATGAATTTTGTCCTAAGAGGAGTTTGTGCAAAGAAGGAATCCGAATAACATAAGTTTATAATTTTACATGACCCTTTTTGTTTGAATGATATAAATTCTTTTTGATTATTTCGGAATAAATTATGTTATTGAAACGGAACAAAAAGGAATCAATTTAAAGATGATGATCACCTTCTTTAGTTTTTCGGCTATCTTTCTTAAGGCTATTCCTTAACCCTCTTTTGATAACTGTAAGACTAAAATATGGATGGATACTTTTATAAGTAAGGCGGTTAATGTTACTAGAAATGTATCATATGTTTCAATGTTATCATTATTACCAAAAGGGAAGGCAGTTACCAAATATTTATTCCAGAATGCTTCTTTATCCTGTGAAACGTGTTTATCCCTGTTTTCTTCCAGGTTATCCAAAATACTAAAGGTAACTTCCTTACTATTGCAACATTCATAGTAACGTTTGTATAAGTAGTTACTGGCACTACCTTTGCTGATATTATACGAACGTTCCATGATGATTTTTTTCAAAGCTTCTGCTTGTTAATCCGACATATTAGGCTTAACTACTTTGAGAAAGATTGGGAGGTGGCACAGTCATTCCGCGATCTCAGTAACTTTTCAGCGATCGAACAATCAGCCAGAGCCAACCAAGAATCTGCCCCTAAATCTGCCATATTCACCAGCAGGAACTTTTATGAATTATCTCGTCAACCGTTCATCGAAAAAATGGCTAGAGAATAGAAGTTACGTCGATTTGGATGACTTGATGGCGATGTCAAGGCGTGGATCGCCCGTAAGGATAAACTTCTTCGCTTTTGTAATAATAAGTAATAATGTGTAATAAGTGCATGCCGCACTTGTTACAAGGGATACAGTAAATGACGTTAGTACTACTACGATTAACTGTGCTTTCTACGTAAGTACTAATGTCAAATCTGTAACGCGTGCTACCATAAAACTAAATTTACCGATTAGAGAACATTTTCCACAATTTCGTTACAAACTGTAGGCATAGTGTTGGATATAATAGTATAAAATATGCTTTAGCTATACATATCAAAATCTCGAGCGATTTGCACCACTGAGAAAAGTATGAACCAAAAAGCGTGAAATCGTTTTGAGCGCTATTGTATATATGTATTAACATATGTATGCATATCTTCTTGCTCTCCCCAGCGTCAATCCCGCGCGGTTGCACCTTATTCGGTTTTTGTCAGCCGTCTCCATTCTTTCCATCTACGGCATCTTCTGCCATTACCTTAGCTTCGGCGAGAACCTCCTTGATCACGTTTCGCCAACTCTTCTTCGAGGCTACTCGTAGCCGCTTTTCTTGAGCTTCGAACTCTATTGTCTTACCGGATGATTTGGTGGTCTACTCAGTACGTGTTGTACCATCGCATGCACTGCTCCCTGATTTTTAACCGTACAGGGGCTACTTGCCTGACCGCTCTGACGCCCTCTTTTCTGATCCGGTCCAGTGGCGCCCAACCGCCGGCATTGAAGCATTCTCATCCTAGCGGCTTGGAGTTGTATTTCATGATTCCTACCTACGGGCCAGTACTCGCTGCTGTAGATCATCTCGGGCCTCACCACTATCCTGAACAATTTTCCTTTTAGCGTCCTTGAGCACCGACCGTCGAAGAGGATACCGGTAGACTTTCTCCACTTCATCCATGCCGCGTTTACGCGGGATTTTAGAGCATGGTTTACGCTACCATCAGCCGCTAGATCACTCCCCAGGTATCGGAAGTCCTGTACCCTTTCGTTGACTTTCCCGAGTCAGTCTATGATTGACTCCGTGCACTCCTCGGAGCTGAGGATTTTAGATTTTCTCATTTTCAGCCGGAGCCCATTATCCGCCAGCACTTTTTGCCATTTTTGCAGCTTATCCTGGAACTCTTCTCTGCTCTCCGCTATTAGAGCGATGTCATCAGCGTCGAGGTCTTCTGTGGTCCATATAGCCCGCTTATGATGACATCCATAAAGAGTAGGTAGAGAAACGGGCTTAGAGCTGATCCCTGGTGTACTTGAGTGCGTACTGCTGTCGTAGACCCATCGTACATATCTTTGATCAGAAAGATCAGGTGTTCTGGAACGTTTCCCTTTCGAAGCGCTCTCCAGATGACATGGCGCGGGAGGCGTACGAATGCCTCCTCCAGATCGAAAGAAGCCGGGTAGCAAGGTGTACTCTCTTCTCGATACTTCTTTATTACTTGTCTGGCTATGAAAACAGCGTCCGTTATAGACCGCTCTGGCATGGAGCCGAACTGTACTCGTAAGATTTGGATGAATTCCATAAGTCTTGAGTCGACTAATCTCTCGTACAGTTTCATTGTGTGAGTAGTCAGCCTGATCACCTTGTAGTTTAACAATCCATCATTTCCTCTCTCTGCTTGAATATGGGAACGACAATGCTGCTCCTCCAGGCATCTGGTATTCTTCCTTTAGTAGTCCCTTTGGTGCTCAGAAATCGAATGAGCCACCGAATCCCGTGCACTTCAAGCGCCTTCCATGCTTTGATCGGTACCCTATCCGGACCAGTTGCCTTCCCAACTTTCACCTTTCCCATGCTCTGCGCAGCTCATCCTCTGTCCAGAGTTTAATGGAGCCTGTCGAAGTATTCCTTCCACCTACGCCTGACCTCACCAAACTTCCTCAGAATTGCACCCTTTGTCTTGATGTTTTGTTAACTGCTGTTTTAACGCCGCAGTGCGCGAAGCGAAAGTCTCACAAGGTTGGCGATTTGTGGGCAAAACTCCAGTCTCGGACGGGACTCGAACCCGTACTTGTCCTTTCCGGGGACCGTGCTCTTATCCCTTACACTACCGAGACCCCGCTTGCCCTCGCCTTCTTAATGGCTTATATGCCATAGCTTATCAGCACTCACACGTACAACGTGTTGAGCCGGTCGGCCGATATCAGCACAGAACCGATAAGCTGTAAGCTTTACATGATAGTACTTGTTTTGACTTGATGTTTTGTTAACTGCTGTTTTAACGCCGCAGTGCGCGAAGCGAAAGTCTCACAAGGTTGGCGATTTGTGGGCAAAACTCCAGTCTCGGACGGGACTCGAACCCGTACTTGTCCTTTCCGGGGACCGTGCTCTTATCCCTTACACTACCGAGACCCCGCTTGCCCTCGCCTTCTTAATGGCTTATATGCCATAGCTTATCAGCACTCACACGTACAACGTGTTGAGCCGGTCGGCCGATATCAGCACAGAACCGATAAGCTGTAAGCTTTACATGATAGTACTTGTTTTGACTTGATGTTTTGTTAACTGCTGTTTTAACGCCGCAGTGCGCGAAGCGAAAGTCTCACAAGGTTGGCGATTTGTGGGCAAAACTCCAGTCTCGGACGGGACTCGAACCCGTACTTGTCCTTTCCGGGGACCGTGCTCTTATCCCTTACACTACCGAGACCCCGCTTGCCCTCGCCTTCTTAATGGCTTATATGCCATAGCTTATCAGCACTCACACGTACAACGTGTTGAGCCGGTCGGCCGATATCAGCACAGAACCGATAGGCTGTAAGCTTTACATGATAGTACTTGTTTTGACTTGATGTTTTGTTAACTGCTGTTTTAACGCCGCAGTGCGCGAAGCGAAAGTCTCACAAGGTTGGCGATTTGTGGGCAAAACTCCAGTCTCGGACGGGACTCGAACCCGTACTTGTCCTTTCCGGGGACCGTGCTCTTATCCCTTACACTACCGAGACCCCGCTTGCCCTCGCCTTCTTAATGGCTTATATGCCATAGCTTATCAGCACTCACACGTACAACGTGTTGAGCCGGTCGGCCGATATCAGCACAGAACCGATAAGCTGTAAGCTTTACATGATAGTACTTGTTTTGACTTGATGTTTTGTTAACTGCTGTTTTAACGCCGCAGTGCGCGAAGCGAAAGTCTCACAAGGTTGGCGATTTGTGGGCAAAACTCCAGTCTCGGACGGGACTCGAACCCGTACTTGTCCTTTCCGGGGACCGTGCTCTTATCCCTTACACTACCGAGACCCCGCTTGCCCTCGCCTTCTTAATGGCTTATATGCCATAGCTTATCAGCACTCACACGTACAACGTGTTGAGCCGGTCGGCCGATATCAGCACAGAACCGATAAGCTGTAAGCTTTACATGATAGTACTTGTTTTGACTTGATGTTTTGTTAACTGCTGTTTTAACGCCGCAGTGCGCGAAGCGAAAGTCTCACAAGGTTGGCGATTTGTGGGCAAAACTCCAGTCTCGGACGGGACTCGAACCCGTACTTGTCCTTTCCGGGGACCGTGCTCTTATCCCTTACACTACNTTAGTACAGGAGACGGATATATAAGATGACCGTTTGTTCCGTAGATGCGATGCATAGTAATAACTCACAAGAACAGCTCATGTATCAATATGAACTGCGGCTTCTGGGGACCAACATTTTGTTACCATACATATTTATGGCGCACCTTGTACAGTGCGTTTCATAATTATAGGGCCACCCTAAATTTTTGCAGTTCCAAGCTTGCAGCGCACTTTGGGGAATGCTGCCATAACCAATAGATTCCTCATAACGGGGGACCTTAGTACAGATTTTGTGAAGAAATTTAACTTTAGAATTGTTGAAATAAT